TGTATGGATTGTGATAAGAGTTGAATGAGCCCCTAATAAAATGATTTTTTATGATAAAATAAAAAGTCCAGACTTACTGGTCAGCTAGAGACTGGAGGAATCCCTGGGCCTGTGGCCCTTGGACACGTTTGAAGTGTGGCCTGGAACCTACCCCAGGGATCAGCTTTCAGCCAAACAATAGACAGGCCCATAAAGTGAGCGATAGCACAGTGGGACATGGGGGCTGTACCCCTCAGTACAATCATAGGAGACCCGAAGGGCAATGCTTGTCCCCAAACAAAGCTGAGCAGGCAGGACGGGGCGGGGAAGAAGGGTGAATGGAAAGGAGAACCCAAGCAGGAAGGAGGAAGCAAGAGGTTACTGTGAGGGAGTGAGCCAGTGTGAGGCAGGAAAACACGTCTCACTGGTGAAGCCAATGGAAAGCCAGTCCGCTCTTGCATGCTTCCAACCCAACCATAATTTAAGACACAACAAAACAGAAGCCCAGCCTTGGCCCCTCCCTCCCTGTCCATGGCATTGCGTCTTCCTGGGCACGGGTCACCTCCGAGGGAAGAGGCTCGGGCACCAGTGACCTTCCCTGGTTCTCTCCACTACCCCAGATTCCCACAGCCTCCATCACCACGGGTCCTTCCAGAGGAAGCGCTGGAGACCCCTGACCACAAGACGGCCTACGCCTTCACATCCCTGGATTTCTTCTTGTATTTCTTTGCGTCCACACGTCTGCGGGAAGCTCCCCACTCCCCCACGTGAGATGGCTGAACCTGCCTTGCTCTTCATCTTAAGGGGGGGCGTTAAGGGGGTGAGGTACAGGTATAAAGCGCCGGCCATATTTCTGCCTTTTATTCGTTAACAGAAAGGCCACAGCAGCTCTATGGAGTCGGTATGGTGAGCTCTGTTTCCCAAAGGAAGAAAGGTTCACTCATTGTCTACAATGGCAGGTGTGGAGCTAGCTCCAATCCGACCCAGCTCTCTCTGGCCCCAAGCTCATTCAGGGCACCCAGCGCGGGACTTGGCCCAGAGCACACAGCTTTTGAGAGCAGAGTTAGGAGGTCCTAAGCCAGAAGCCCTCTGCCCAGCCAGTGCCGGTGGTGACCGAGCCCCCAGGGTCATCCATTCACGGATCTGCATGAGTGATATGTGCAGTGTGGAGGGGCTGCTGTTTCTGGGTGTCAAACCTAGATCCCCTTCCAGAAATGGGGTCTTCACAAGGTCCAGAGAAGTGGACGCAGAGCCTCCCACCCCCCTCCTCCCACAGACCCCTTTGCTCAAACACCGTCCAGCCATCTCTAGCCCAACAGCCAGACCAGTCTCCAGAGGGAGGGCTCATGTAGTTTCAGCCTTTTCTTTAATGACATTTGGTGGCTGGTGAGGTGACACACACACACACACCCCACCAATACCGGCTGGGGATGTTTTGCATTGATTACCATAGTTGATCCTATCAACTATCCTCCCACAGGAAGGTGTTGTCCCTATTTTATCAATGACAACATGAAGAAGTGTGGAAAGAAGTAACTTAGAAGTAACCAGGATTCGAACCCAGTTCCTTCCTGATCTCAAAGGTCGTGGCCCGAGGAGAAAGCGGGGCATTGCCTCGTCTCTGCTGCACCCACGAGAAAAAGAAGTCTGAGCAGCCTGAAAAACCCTGGCATGGGGCAAGCTGCCGAAAGGGTAGGCTGTATTCACCTGCATCTCTTCTTGCCTCACCCCCCTGGGGTTCCCCAGAGCGCCTGCATGGATGGGAGCCTCTCTCTGGGACTGGCGTTCAGGGCAGTGGGCTGGTAGGCTGGGCGGGGTTGTGTGAGCGGGCGCCTTGGCCAGTGGCTCCTGCTCAGCACAGACAGGGGGCCTGCGGCACAGCCTGTTCTGCCGGGAACCTGTTTCTCAAGCTGAATTACACGTGTGCTGGCCTTGGTGACACTGCCTTGCCCCAGCCAGGCATGAGACCTGGTGGCAAGCAGGGTCTGTCATTTGAAGTACCACCTGCCTCCCTGCCCCAGCTGGAAGCAACTTGGGGGCCTCACTCACTAAGGCTGAGACATAGCACCGAGGACACTGGGCCACCAACACCTCCTCAGAGTGCCAGGGAGAAGGGCCACCTTCCTGCTCACCGTCCCTCCCAACCTGCCCTTCAGGACGATCTCAGAAAAGCACTGGGACACCCTGCGGGGCCCATGGGGGCCTCACTCACCGCCTGGGGCCGCCTGCCTGGCCTCCTCTTCCTCACTTCTCACCGGTCAGCGGCCAGAGCTCTCAGGGACTACGAGTCGGGAGCCCAAGGGCCTTGCTGCGCTGAAATAGATCGCAGATACAAAGCGATGATGAGGGGAGGGCAGGGAAGCGGGATCGCCCCACGCCGGTCTCAGGTCTTGGGGAAAGGACGGCGGGCTTTCCCGTGGGGCACACCGGAGGAAGGGAGCAGGGGTAGTGGACCCTGAGCGACCATCCTCGCAGGCCAGGGCTGCCACCGGCCCCGGGCCGCTGCAGTCCAGCCCACCCAGGTCAGGCCGGCTCCCAGGGGCGCCCCGGTCTCTGTCCTTAAGCCACGCCCCGGCACCCCCAATCTTGGGCATGAAAACCCAGGGATGGGGTCGGCCTCGGGGTGGACAGGCCGGCTGGTCTCACGGGGAGCGTGGCACCACGGACTGACGGGAAGTCCCCACCACCCCCACCCCGGCGCCGGGAGAGGCGGGGGAGCCCGGCCGCCCTGGACATGTTTGTGCAGCGCCGGCCTCACCTGCCGCAGTTTGATTTCAGGGTGTGGCCCCAGGTAGGACGCAGCGAACCCACCGGCCGGCCGGGAAACGTCACCGAGGGGCCCTGCCCAGCCCTTGCCCGCCACCGCTTGGGGCCCTGCCCCCGGCCTGGCCTGGGCCCCTCGGGTTCGGGAACTCCTTCCTTCGCGTTGCCGAGACACGCTCTGGGCCAGCTGGCCAAAGTGCAGCGAGAGCGGGAGCTGGAGCCCGAGCCTGCCCTTGTCCCACCGGGATTAATAACCCTTCCAGGACAGGGACCAAAAGCTGAGCTGGACGAGGCGCCTGGTCCTCGCTGGCACTGGCTAGGTCCGAGAACGCTGTCTCCGGTTCCTTCCGGCATAGAGGGCTTATTGGGGAAAGAACGCTTCCAGGAACCTCCACTCCCAGAGGGTGGGGCTGTGCTCGGGAGCCCTTTCTACCTGCGGGGAGATCAACACCCCTTGACTTGATTCTCCTGGTGTGCCCTCCCCAGGAGCCTGGAGGGCCGTGCCAAGGTGCTCACAGCTCCCACCTGGCTGCCCTTTGCCCTAACTTACTTTTTGTTCCCCAAACCCAACCCAACCCAACCCAACCCACTGCCATCAAGTCGGTTCCAAAATGGAGCTATCAAATAGCGAGTCCCAGATTGCGGGGTCGGGTCTTTCAGGTTTTTCTGAACCGGAGCGGAGAGCCCCCTCTTTCTCCCCAGGAGTGGCCAGTGGGTTTGAACCACTGATCTGGAGGTTAGCAGTCGAATGCCTCCTCCTTGTCTCCTTTCCTTTGAGTGGGAGGGTGGTTTCCCCTGCTGATGTGGGAAGACCCTCCTGACCTTGACTGGAGCTGAGGGTACCCGGGCTTAGACATTCAGTACATCTGCACTCCAAACGGCTGGCCTCGTGTGACGACTAGGGGACCCCCAGTGCCACAGACTAGGGGCAGTGCAGGGCACCCCAGATGTCGGTCACTCAGGGTGGAGGTAGCGGGGACCCACGGTATGACAACTAACAGCAACAACGTTGTCGCGAGTCCTTTTTGTTCACCCAACTGTTCAGAAGTATCGGTTCTTTGTAGGGAAGTCACTTGCATTGTGGACTCCATTGCTTAAATAGTTTGCGCCCCGCCCCCCCCAACAGAGGGTCAGGTGGCCGGCCAGTGGGCACATTCCAGCCTCAAACAGGCTTGTGTCCTGTCTGGCTGCACCCCAAGCCCTGATGGGAGCCGTGTGCCCTGGGGGTTCGTGCAAACAAGTGGCACAGCATGCTCAGGCCTTCCCACTGTCCACCTCCCAAGCGCGCAAGGTCTCTGCTGCCCGCTCCTCCCCTTTCTTGCAGCCCCCACGTCTTTCCTAGGCTGCTTATCTCTTTCTTCCGATCACATGTTACTGTAGGCTAGACCCTGTTAGTCAGCCCCTGACGCTGTCCCCCAGGAAGCTGACTGATGTGAACAAGGGAGCCATACGGGGGTGGGGGTGGGGTGAGCGCCAGAGTGGCTTTCCGCACAGGTTAGTTACCTGGGGACTGGCCCAAAGGCCGTCAATGGGAAGCGAGTTGTTGCTGAGCCTTTGAAATGATCTATGAGTCAAAAGCAATGAAATGCACTCCTTTGTAGGATCTGGAACCAACACCCTGGCTTATTTTCATGAATTCCCAAATGCACGCATGAATGACCTTCTCTTAATATCAATGCCCACCACACTAAAACCACAGCCCCAAGCAGTACATCGGAATGGCTGAGCTGCATAGATAAAGTGTGGACATTAAAACGTTGGACATGAGCTGGCATGCACTGGGGTTGAGTCCAGCTTGGGGTATCTCAGAGGGTTACTGGTCAAGTCCCATCCCTGCCCTGTGGGGTGTAAGCCGAGAAACCCTCGATGCCTCTGAGCTTTGGGAACTACGGTGGGTCTGGATAGAGGCAAAGGTTCCACACAAGCCAGGCCAAAAAGGTAAGAACCACCCCATCACGGGAGGTCTCCGAGAAGCCAGGCATGTCAAAGAAAGATGCCCAGGTGGACAAAAGACGGAGGGACCCTCTGAGGGCCATGCAGTCTCCAGTGTCTGTCGATCCAGGCACCTCAGCTGTCCAGGGTGAGGAGACTTGTTGCATGTTGGGAGGGCTGGGCCGTGCAGGATAGGACGGGAGTGATGGATTCCCACCTGTCACTGTCCTTCCCTGCCCTCCTCAGCCCCGCTCTGAATAGTGCAGGAAGTGGCCAGAGCAGGCGGAGGGCAGTTTCTCCTCAGCATCCGCATGCCTCCCATTGGCCTGGTGCCAGGCTTTTCTGTTGAGTTTGGGGGTCGGCACCAGGCACCCGGAGGGAGTGGTCCAGGACCCCGACACTACAATTT